AATTGTTTTATTTTTTTTTTTTTTTTTTTTTTTTGTTTTTTTTTTACTTTTTTTTATTGTTGTCATTTTTTTTTTTTTTTTGAATTTCTGTCACTTTTTTAGTATTTGACACATTTTTTTAAAATTTTCTGTCAATTTCATAAAATTTTTGTCACGTTTATAAGTAACAAACACCACTTTTTTAATGAAAGTGACATTGTATGTGAAAAGTGACATTGCGTCACTTTTTTTAACATTGTGTCACTTAATTTTACAGGATATTTTTTGTCACTTTTTTTAGTGACAAAATTACTTTTTAATAAAAATATGTCACTTTTTTACAATGTCGCTTTTTATAAAAAGTGACACTTAACTTAAAAATGGCATCGTGTCTTTTTTTTTATTATTATTAAAAAGTGACGCTTAATTTACACAATATTTTTTACTTTCAAAATATTTCTCATATGATTTTTCAAAAGACTTCTAATTTTATGGGTATTTTTGTAAGTTGCCCAAATTAAATTTAACTATTATGTAATTAAGTAATGATTTCTCGTGGAATCGAGAATGCAAACTTGTTTTTCCACTTTTATTACTTGTAAGTAACATGCGGGTTTACGGTACACATTTTTTAACAAACAACAATTCGACGTCATTTTTATAAATTTAATGATAAAAATTCTAGCACTTCAAAGTTCTGTTAACAATCGAAGAGTTTGTTCAAAATATAATGAGCAATCGAAAATATTTTTTAAAATTAAGTGAACAATAAAAGACCTTTTCTTTATGTGTCAACTTAATAACGGTGTGACAGCACGTTGCCCGTGCATAATCACGTCGTTAATTTGATTAGAGGTTTCAAATAGATATTATGTCGGGTAAGAGTATGTCTAAGAGACTCTTTAAATATGAGATACTCTCTATTTTAAAGAATCAATATTTAAAATCATGCTCCAAAAAACTCTTTAAATTAACATTTTAATTTAGATAGTGAGTTTGAATCTCCAAATTTGGAGAGCCAAACTCACTTTATATAATTAAATGCATTCAAAATGTTTCAATTTTCAATATAGAAAAATAATAAAATAATCTAAAGAAAATTTAATTAAAATAAAAGATAAACAAAAATAATAAATTTTTTTGGGGAGTAGTAAAATTAAGTATTAAATATAAAGAGTTTGTTAGAGTACTTCAAAATTTTAACTCTCTAAATTTATAGATGCTCTCCAAATGATAGAATCTCTTGAAAAATAGATAGTTTCTTGGAGATGCTAAGTTTTGGGACTATTAACTTATATTGTAATCAGCCTCTTCGATTCATTCTAATTACCCCCTAATCTTCAAGAAACAATCATATATGTCAGTTTTATCAAAACCTGAAACAAACTTAGATGGCCATAATCAAGAAAAATCAAGAACAATCCATACAAGATCCAAAAGTGAGCAACTGATGAAAATCTGTCACGGTTCGAACTCCAAAACACAGCTTCGTACAAATCAACACTGGAATTTACTCCAGTTGAAATAAGGAATTTATGATACTAAATTCAAAGTAAAAGAGAATGGGGGAGGTATTAAATGATGTAAAATGAGTACGAGAAGGCGAGGGTTGAATTGAATCACTTCTATTAACAACCAATTTGGCAGAAAAATTACGAACTGTTTTCTTCCTTTACACAGGGAGGTAGACATACCCAATTGAAGTCGTGTTTGGACAATTTTAAATTGAAAAAAAAATTTCTGCCTATTACAATTTATTAATACAAAACGACATCGTTCCGCTCAAAATGCAACGACATTGTTTGCATTCCAAAGTCAGGTAATTCTGTTGCCTTCTTCTTCCTCTCTTCTTTCTGGTTTTGCTGGTTCTGGTCCTTCTTTTCCCCTTTTGCTTCTCACATAACAACCCTCCCCCTCACCTTGATCTTGTCCCCAAGATCCACATGCTAGAAACTGAGTTCTAACCCATTCAGCATCCTCCCAGGTTGCACTGGTGATGACCTTGACTATGGAATGAGCCATTGTAATTTGTTCGATGTCTGCGCTTCACTAGTTTGGATTGTAAAATGGCTAGAGGATAATGACCTACCTGTAGCGATTGCTTTTCCTATGGAAGTTGTAGTACTGACATCACGTTGCCTCCAAGTTTTTTCTTCAATAGTGAAACATGGAAAATTGGGTGTATCTTATAACCTTCAGGTAGTGCTAATTAGCAGGCAACTGTCTTCTTAAGGATTTGATAAGGACCAAAGTATCTAGCACTGAGTTTTTTATTTTGCCTATGCCCTACTAAATGTTGAGTATAAGGATGTAGCTTGAAAAAAATCCAATCCTCCTCTTCAAAAGACCTCGTTGCCTTGTTTTTGTCTGTATAAAATTTTGTCTTAGACATGGCCTGAGATAGGTTCTCATTTAATTGTTGGTTTAATTTGTATCTCTGTATCTCCACCACTAGCCTCTATATTTCTGTTTTCTGAATAAAAGGGCATAAACGTGGTCTTATTCTAAATGGCAGTGCTCCCTCCTTCAAGGGTTGTGATGATCGCATGATCTGAGAGGAGACAGCCCTAGCAGATCCTCAAATAGTCTGGGAAATTTATGTATGACTTCTAGAATCTGGCCAGGTATATCCTTAGTTTGGTCCTCCTTCATTTGGTACAATTGTCCCACTATCCTAAATGGTCTTTCTCCATACATTTTCTCTATCTCCATTAACTTGATTGAATTTCTAGAAACCTCACTTTTCAATTTAATTACTTTACCATTGCTCTGGAATTGGACATAATCATGTATGAAATCAAAGGTGATTGGACCAAATTGACTCATCCATCCAATCTACTCCCAGTACAATGTCACTGCACACAGTTTCAACTTTCTTAGATGGTATTGGAATTCCCAGTTTTGCACCTTCCAAGTCAGGGGCGAGTAAAGGGCCTTACTCTTTAATTTCTCACCATTTGCCATCCTGACTGTCCATGATTTAGTTCCATCAACGACCAAGTTCAGCTATATATAAAGATATGTGTGCTTCCACTATCTACTAAAATAGATAGCCTCTTCCCCTTTAAAATTCCGGGAATTCTGATAGAAGATTCTCCAATCTGCATGAGGGTGTCTTGCAAGGAAACTATCGAACCAAATGTCCGCTTTACCTTTCAAATACATTTCAGCAATACCGAGTCCCAACTCACGTGAGATCTGATGAAGTTGAAAATACTCCCTAGCTTTTCTAAGCCATTCCCCAGGTTCTTCTCCCCTAAAGAGCTGATTATCAATTGTAGGCAGCCTATTATTTCCTTTAAGTCGCCTCTAGTATGAGTACTACTTTCAGTGTTACTAGCTCCTGAGATAGATATTAAACCCTCAAATCTCTCGTTAACCACAGTTTTTTCGACTCCTTTGTTTTTCCGCCCCATTTTGATATCTGAAGACACATAGGTCAACATGGCCGCTAAATTTTCATATTTATGATTCATATCTAACAACTTAGCTTCAATTTTTTCCTATCTATGCCCAATTACCTAGAGAGTTTGATAAGCGGAAGCCAACTTGTTCTCCAGCTTGTTGGTGACAGATTTAAAGGAATTATGCAGATGAGCAATCTCCAGATCCAGTTTCTTCAAATGCTCATCAACTGCTTTAGACCTTGTATCCATTTCTGACAATTACCTAGTAATATATGCATGCTCTGATACCAATTTGTCACGGTTCGAACTCCAACTCGCAAATACAGCTTCGTACAACTCAACGCTAAAATTTACTCCAACTGAAATAAGAAACTTATGATACTAAATTCAAAGTAACAGAGAATGGGGGAGGGATTACATGATGTAAAATAAGAACGAGAATGAGAGGATTGAATTAAATCACTTCAATTAACAACCAATTTGGCAGAAAAATCACGGAATATTTTCTTCCTTTACACAAGGAGGTAGACATACTCAGTCGAAGTCGTTTTTGGACAATTTTAAATTGAAAAAATAATTTCTATCTATTACAATTTATTAATTCAAAACGACATCGTTCCGCTCAAAAGGCAACCACCCCGATTTGCATTCCAAAGTCAGGTAATTCTGTTGCCTTCTTCTTCCTCTCTTCTTTCTAGTTTTGCTGGTTATGCTCCTTCTTTTCCCCATTTGCTTTTCACATAACAAAATCCATTACTGGTTTGAACTCTGATTCCTCGTCCCTAAGTTCAGTCATGGATCTTGGTTTTGTGTTCTTTGAAGAAGATAAAGATTCAATTCTTGTGGAAATCATTCTCGGATTGCAAAGATTGGGCGGGAAAATGGATGGAAAAGGGCAAGAAGAGGCAGGGAATGTCAATAATCTTCAGTTCCAAGGCCTTATCTTTCGGAAGCGTGGGAAGTTTTTGACATAGGAAAGAGGGAGAATCAGAGCCCATTGATGTACTGGAGAGTTCCTGTTATCAGCAATCGGATTGACGCGAAATAGTCTCAAATGGTGGGCTCATACTGTTTCATCTGCTGTTAGATGATTACTGTCTTTTGATTCATCATTTCGCATTTCTAATTTTTTAGGATATTTTCCGACTTTCTGTTTTTGTGCATTCGAATAAAAATTCTTGACGGATTCTTTATAGAAATCTCTTGAAAAGAGTTTTATGATGCACATTTTTGCCATTAAATTCCTTTGTATTACAGAGAAGTATTCGTTCTTATATTGTCTGATTTAATTTGGATTTATACACAAGTAAAAAATCATAAAAATTTAAAATCTGGTATCTTTTTTGTTTTACGAATTTATTGATACGCAACAAAGTTTTTCAGAAGTAACTAAAAGAAAGTATTAAAGAAGAGATACAAATACAAATTCTGGAATTTATGTTAAACGAATTTAAATTTTTAATTTTTTAATTTCTCCTTACTTCAGGCATTGTTAAATAATTTTCTCTATCAAAAGATGGAAAGAGGGTTTGCAGTTTGGCAACAAGCTATACAACAGAGCCCTTAGAGGTCGATGTCAAGATGAGTTGAACTGCCTGCTGCCGCCACTTGCCCTGTTGCTACCTCCTCCAAGGTTTCTTCTCTCTGTCTCTATGTCCATACAGAGACCTCACTCATACAATTGACATTACAAGTGTATGGGTGTGTCCATGCTGTTTCCTTGATAATGAAGTAGAAGGGGGTTGTGGAGTTGACTGTGAAACATTTCAAAACTAATGGAGTTTACTATAAATTTTAATTGTTCTTGATAAGAAAACTTTCCTTTTTTATTGATTTGTGTTCTATTTGAGTTGTGTCTTGTTGTCTGCTGGTTTGATTTGCTGTGCAAATTGATATGTCCTTTACAAGGGATGTATGGAATAACAATCCCATTTCATATTTACATTTTAAGTCAGGTTCGTTACTATCCAGTCCAAAGTAAGATAAAGGAGGAGCTGAGGAGGTTAAGATTAGATAGACCGACACAGCTAGCAGTTTCCTCATGAGCATGAACATTCCGTTTTCTTTGATGTTACTTACATTTATTTTTTGGTTGAAACACAGAACTGCTATGCCTGTGCACTTCTTATTCCAATTTCCAAGCCTAGTATTTTTTTTAATTTCATTTCAATCATTTTCCTTCCTTTAGGCTTCTATAAAGTCAGCATAGGAGGAATTCATCAATTGTTGCTACATAGGGAGGTAGTTCCGCTTTATGAAACGAGTTTTTTTTTTTTTTCGAAAGGAAAAAGGGCCTTCTTGCTAGCCATGAAGTGAAGCCTTGTTTTTGTTTTTCTGTGTTGTAAAGAGACCTAGATACCTTATTGCAAAAAACTCTTCTTTCTCATTTTGACTGTACTTGCGTGTATTTATTGTCTTTGAACCAAGTTCCTCATTACATATTCTTCAATACCCAAGCAATAAGCACAAATGATATTGTAACGAGGTGGCCTGGATGGGGAGGTGGCAGAGGGCATGGTGTGACTGAGGGCAGTGGAGGATGGAGTTTTAGAGGATAGAGGAATCCATGTGCTAATTTGAAGTATAAATTAGGGGGCAATTTTCTAGACAATCTATTGTTTCTCTAACAAACATATAGTCGTGTTTAACTGATTACATGTACTTTTAATAATCACTTTTTTTTCTCCTTATTATTTGTTTGGTCATTATTGGAGTTCTTTATACTCCAAAAGAAGAAGAAGAAGGAGACATTTATTAGAGTTCGAAGTTTCTTGTACTTTCGTGTGGTTCTTATGTTTGACTAAGCAGATTGTGAAATATTTCCTTTCTCATATCAGTCAGTTTATTAATCAAGCTTTTGATCATGGTCTAGCAGTTCCTGATGGAGATATGGTTGAGAAAGCTAGCAAGCTTTGCATTGTAGCTCGGTGCGGAGTTGGAAGTCATAGATATTGAACCAGAACTTGCTGATCTTATGTCCAAAAGTTCTTTTAACCAAAGAGGGGGTATCAAAAGGCTCATTCGACCTTCTGATTCCCAAAGTCAAGATCTGAATCATAGAAAGCTGAACCTGGTCGATTGCTCAGTGGGTGGACAAACTGCTGGAATAGCCCAAGGCAAGTGATCTAACTCTAATGTTGTTTGAGCTAATAAATCAAATTATTGCTGGCATTACTTCAATTATGGCATTTCAATTTTTGGTGAGAAAGGGAAGTTTATCATATTAGGTGACAGTGTTAAATATATACGAGATGTGGAGAAAATTGCAGCATAGGTCCTCAACACATTTCTTGAGTAGCAAGTTGGTGAGGACCTTTAGAAAGGTCCTCGTGGGGCCCTAGTGGAAGCATGCCTCACTAAAATTTTTTGAGCACTGACCCATATTGAGATACAAAACCTAGCTTCATAAAGGTTGGAACCAACTTGCTACTTGAAAAATATATTACGACCAATAGGGAAATTTTTTGTTAGGCATGGGATTGGTCCAAATATTTTGATACTGATCAAAATAGTATCGTAGGGTTCTTCTATCTTTTGAAAATCAATTTGAGCCAAAAAAAAAAAAGGAGAAAAGAAAAGAAAAGAAAAAAAAATGGCAAGATCTCAGTGCCTTTCCCTTTAGTTCAACTTTAAAGGTCTTATTTCCTTTTCACTGTTACTGATATTGTTGTGACTGAACTGTTGCCTGCTCAGGTCAATTGGCTATGCACAAACTCATCAGATGGTAAGTCACAGCAGGGATTACAAACTTGTGGGTTGCTGGACGAAGTTAGACAGGCAACTGTGCATGGATGAATTCCCGGATGAATATGCAGCCTCTCCCTCGTGTATATTTTATATTTTAAGAGTGTGTTTGATGCACATTAAAATGGAAAGAATGCATTTTTTCTTGTGATGGTGAATATGTGGTTAAAAGGGAAAAAAAAATTATTGATGTAATGAAAAATATTATTTTATTGAAAAATGTGTCGTTGAATATGAGTAAAAGAATGAAAATAAAAACGAGAATGTGGCTCAAACAGGGGTTTTACATTATTTTCAACCTTGGTTAGTCTTGCAACCTTCCAATCTGGCGGATGCCTGTCACGCCATTATGTTTTATTATGGAAAGTTAAGCTGTTTTTGTGAGATGAAGATAGAGGAGATTGTACTGTATTGAGATATGGTTGAATTATTGTATACTAGTCCATGAGCATGTTCCTGGGTTAATCTATTTTATGTGAAAGGAATATAGTATAGGAGAGGTGAGGTGAGGAAGTTTGCATTCACCTCTTTTAACTAAGGCCCCGCTTGGCCTAGCTTTTAAAAAGTCAAAATCTGTTTTCCAAACTTAAAAGCTGTTTTTGCTTCTGTTTAACTAATTTTATGAAATTGATTCTTCTAGTTAAAAGACCTTTTAGAGAACACTGGTCAAAATGTTACTTTCTATAAAGATCCTTTTAAAATAAAAAGCTCTATTAAAAATTAGTTTTCGTGGTTTACTTCAGAAGCTCTTCTACGGGAAACAAAAGCAAAAATAATGTCAAATGGGCCCCATGTAAAATAAAGTTGTTTTATTTGTAAATAAATGAATTGTATGTTCTTTTTAAGGACATGATCACATGGCCTATACATTTTGTGCAGCTTTGATCAGGAATTACGGCAATGTTTGTGAATGAATTTAAATCAAAGAACTGGGGTTTGAGAATAGAAAAATTAAACAAAGACCACGTTCCTTTTTGAATTATAATTTTAAATCAAAGAACTGGGGTTTGAGAATAGAAAAATTAAACAAAGACCACATTCCTTTTTGAATTATAATTTTTTTTTTGTCTTTTTTCTTCGGGACCAAATTTTTAACACGTAATTTAAGACATTTAAGAAATATTTGGTAAGTTGGATTAAACATGAGTTAGAGTTATTAAACTTTTTTTTAATGACCGTGGATGTCCGAGCCAAATTGCTAGCATATCGACTAATCTCACGAAGCCCTGAAGTTTAAGGTCGAATACTCACCTCAGTAGCCCTGAGGAGACTCGAACTGATGACTATTAGGGAGCAAATTCAAAACCTGACCAATTGAGCAATCCCTCAAAGTTACGAGTTAGAGTTATTAACAAAGATTAAGTTTAATAATCTAAACATGTACTATGGATTAAAAAAAAATGGCTTCGAAATTTTTAAAATTTGAGAATATACTATAATTATAATTACATACATGTGCTGTATGGTGAGATGGCGCTATGCCTGATGGTTGATTCAGATATTGAGTCTCAGTTGAGATGTACCCATGCCAACCGTAGCCTGCCTTCAAATTCCCGCAAAATTTCAATCTTCAACTAAGAAAGAGACATTGCTTCTCTTCTATCTCTGAAAAAATATGACACCAACCCCGCAACCCACATGCCATTCTAACAACCTTTGCTACCCTCCAAGCAATAGTCTGCCCGTAAATCACCCTTTTATATGCATATAAATCCCAAGAACTAATCAGTTTTCTAAGAGTTGAAAGGATAACATTTAGCAACAGGTTTTGAAATCAAGATGATGGAGTCGGGGGTTCCTATGTGCAAAATTTGCGGTGAACATGTGGGATTCGACTCCAATGGGGAAGTTTTTGTAGCTTGTCATGAGTGCTATGATCCCATTTGCAAGGCCTGTCTGGGCAGTGAAATCAGGGAAGGGCGCAAGTCGTGCACTCAGTGTGGCACTCCGTATTATGGTATTTGTCTCCAACTTAATTAACTTCTTTTAAAATGTATTCTTATTAGCAATGCATATTTAAATTTGCTTTATTTAATTATTTGTACATTACCTGCGTAACTCGCAGTGAATGTGTGACACTACTGTAAGAACGTGGTGGTTTCTATGAACTGATCAACAGGTCTATAGGAGTTATTCAAAGTTAGGAAGCCCAGTGAATTATACTGGCTTTTAAAAGGATAGACTTCATTCTTATTTTACTTGCAGAATGGACAGAGAACTCAGCTGTCGCAGAAGAAGAATCAGGAAATCATATGACAATGGGAAGTCACCTAAATCCTTCCGTGGTATGAATCCAACAATTTTTGTAGTTGCAGTTGGATGTATATAATCACATTCATTCGGTTTCAAATATATTTGCAGAGTCAGTTTTAGAGTACTCGATGAGAACAAGCTGTATTTTAATGCTTCTTATACAAATGGAATTTGTCTTGTTTGACGTGATGCAGGATGCAACTCATGCTAGAAACATTAGTAGTGTCTCTACGGCGGACAGTGGTGAGTAGAAGCAATTAGTATCATTTTTTTCCAGAAAGTTCTTGTATTTCATTCTGTGAGGAGACTCTCACTTACTCATCTGCTCTTCTTTGACATTTTTTATGAAGAGTATATTAATGAATCTGGTAACCCTATATGGAAGAATCGGGTGGAAAGTTGGAAGGAAAAGAAAAACAAGAAGAAAAAACCAGCGAAGAAAGATAAAAAGGAAGCCGAAATTCCACCCCAAGAGGAGATGGAAGAAAATCCACAGTAAGTTATCTGAAAAGTAGGACGAAATCTTTAGAGATTATTAAACATAAAGCGTGGATCAATTGTTTATTATGAACTCATAAATTGTGAGGTAACAATAACTTGTGCAGACAAGTGGATGCTGCACAGCCACTTTCAAGAATAGTTCCAATACCGAAATCTCAACTTGCACCATACAGAACTGTGATCATAATGCGATTGATTATCCTTGCACTTTTCATCCATTATCGAGTAACGCATCCTGTTGATAGCGCTTATCCTCTGTGGCTCACTTCTGTCATCTGTGAGATCTGGTTTGCATTTTCCTGGATATTGGATCAGTTCCCTAAATGGTCTCCGATAAATCGGGATACAGATATTGACAGGCTATCCGCAAGGTACGAATATTTGATTGCATGTTTGGTATCAGTAATAGAGAGCGCACCTATGTATAATAGACAACAATATGATTTTTTAATTTTAATTTTTTGTTCCTGTCAAATGTAGTCTGATCCACTGTACCGGACATGCCATAAGAGCTCCTTATTTGGGTACATATTAATTTTGATATGAACTAATTTTCCTGACATATCAGGTATGAAAGAGAGGGGCAACTGTCTGAACTTGCTGCCGTGGATTTCTTTGTTAGTACAGTCGATCCTCTGAAAGAACCTCCTTTGATTACGGCAAACACAGTTCTCTCCATCCTTTCAGTGGACTACCCTGTTGATCAAGTTTCGTGCTATGTTTCTGATGATGGTGCAGCGATGCTTACATTTGAGTCACTTGTTGAAACTGCTGAATTTGCAAAAAAATGGGTTCCTTTCAGCAAAAAGTTTAATATTGAACCACGTGCACCCGAGTTTTACTTCTCACAGAAGATTGATTACTTGAAGGATAAAATACAGCCTTCTTTCGTCAAAGAACGCAGAGCAATGAAAGTAATTATGCAACCATAATCACTTACAATAATATTAGGATTCTTTGCCATGATAAATTAGTAACTCAACTAATTGTATTTGAATATCAAAGTATAAATCTCATTATTATTTATTTCCTTGAATTACAGAGAGATTATGAAGAGTACAAAGTGCGCATAAATGCTTTAGTAGCAAAGGCGCAAAAAACACCAGATGAGGGCTGGACCATGGCAGATGGAACCCCTTGGCCTGGAAATAACACCCGTGACCACCCTGGCATGATTCAGGTTTACTTTAGTAACTACAGTATTCTTGCTTCCGTTATTCAGTTTTATTTACTTCTTAATTCATCATAGGTCAAAAATTATATGGCTTTGGTCGTATCATTTTCAGGTGTTTTTAGGCCATAGTGGTGCCCACGACATAGAGGGAAATGAGCTTCCTCGATTGGTTTATGTCTCAAGAGAGAAGAGACCTGGTTATCAACATCACAAAAAGGCCGGTGCTGAAAATGCTCTGGTATATAACCATCTACACTATTTTAGTTACAGGCTGCCTCTATATGAATCTTATTAGATTCGTAAATGATGTATATATTTTCTTGCAGGTAAGAGTGTCTGCTGTTCTCACGAATGCACCTTATATTCTCAACCTTGACTGTGATCACTACGTTAACAATAGCAAGGCAATTCGAGAGGCAATGTGTTTCTTGATGGATCCTCAAGTGGGCCGAGATGTATGTTATGTGCAGTTTCCTCAGAGGTTTGATGGAATTGATAAGAGCGACAGATATGCCAATCGCAACACAGTTTTCTTTGATGTAAGATTCCTCGCTCTATTTATGTTACTATAAACTTGAAATTTGTCCATTACATCCTCCATGCAGCCTTCGAAACACTATTATTTATGATGTACCTAAGAAGTATCAATTTGATCAAGATTTGAGTTTCAGCATCAGTTGAAATCATTATTGGACTCTCAGTAACTATCTTCTGGTTTCAGGTTAACATGAAAGGGTTGGATGGCATTCAAGGACCGGTTTATGTTGGGACAGGTTGTGTCTTCAATAGACAAGCTCTTTATGGTTATGGGCCTCCCAATTTGCCCAGCTTACCCAAGACTTCATCTTGCTCGTGGTGCACCAGCTGCTGTTGTTGCTGTCGACGCAAGAAGCCTGCAAAAGAGAAAGATTTCGCAGAGGTTTACCGTGATGCAAAAAGGGAAGATCTTAATGCTGCCATCTTTAACCTTAGGGAGATCGAAAGTAAGTTTGTTGCCCCCCAGATAATCAGATAATTGGTCATTGAATACGGAATCTTTTGAAAATTAAGATGCATCTATATGGTGATGTATGTAGGTTACGATGACAATGAAAGGTCACTGATCATCTCTCAGATGAGCTTTGAGAAAACTTTTGGATTGTCTGCCGTTTTTATTGAGTCCACACTAATGGAAAATGGAGGACTGCCAGAATCTGCCAATCCATCAATGCTAATTAAAGAAGCAATCCAGGTCATCAGCTGTGGGTATGAGGAAAAGACTTCATGGGGTAAAGAGGTCAGAAAGTTCATCTTTTTTCTACATTACCACTTATTTTTCTGTCCTTCGAAACACGATAGGAAAAATGAGGAAATTTTGGAGCATATTGATGTTATGTTTCTCTTGAAGAAAAATAGTTTCAAGTCCTAAATCTACTCAAAATTTGGTGTTTTTCGTTTTAGATTGGCTGGATATATGGATCAGTTACAGAGGATATCTTGACGGGGTTCAAGATGCACTGCCGTGGATGGAGATCAATTTACTGCATGCCCTTAAGGCCTGCATTCAAGGGATCGGCACCAATCAACTTGTCCGATAGGCTGCACCAGGTGCTTCGATGGGCCCTGGGATCAGTCGAGATTTTCTTGAGTAGACATTGTCCTCTGTGGTATGGATTTGGTGGTGGCCGCCTCAAATGGCTCCAAAGGCTTGCATATATCAACACCATAGTCTATCCTTTCACATCTCTTCCACTAATTGCATATTGCTTGATACCTGCCATATGCCTTCTAACTGGGAAGTTCATTATTCCAACGGTATTTTCTTTTGCCTTCCAACTGGTTTTGCTGGATTCACCAAATTTTCTTGTTCATTTATGTTTGCAACTAACCCAAAACTATATTTCGTAATCTTCATATAGCTGTCAAATCTTGCAAGTGTACTGTTCCTTGGGCTCTTTTGTTCCATCATTGCCACCAGTGTCCTCGAGTTGAGGTGGAGTGGCATAAGCATTGAGGATTGGTGGCGTAACGAGCAGTTTTGGGTTATTGGAGGCGTCTCAGCCCATCTCTTTGCTGTATTCCAAGGTTTCCTGAAAATGCTTGCTGGACTAGACACAAACTTTACCGTTACTGCCAAAGCATCAGACGATGGAGAGTTTGGGGAGCTCTACATCATTAAATGGACAACTGTTTTGATCCCTCCAACATCAATTCTCATTATAAACATGGTTGGTGTAGTTGCTGGATTTTCCGATGCCTTAAACAAGGGATATGAAGCATGGGGACCTTTATTCGGCAAGGTTTTCTTTGCATTCTGGGTGATACTTCATCTCTACCCATTCCTTAAGGGTCTCATGGGGCGACAAAACCGGACTCCAACCATTGTTATTTTATGGTCTGTACTTTTGGCATCGGTTTTCTCTCTTGTTTGGGTGAAGATAGATCCATTTGTAAGCAAAAATGATACTTCTACCATTTCTCAAGGCTGCATTGCCATTGACTGTTAAGCTTGGTGGGAATTGCTGTTCGGTATAATATGTTTGATGAAGGATACTTATTGTTCTTCAACAACCCGTATCAATTTTGGATGTTCGGTAAATCTATGGTATGCACGGTTTGAAAGTATAATAAATAAGATTTTAGTTTATTTTTCAATTGAGACTGTCAAAATTGAAGATGGTTGTATTGAATTGAATGTAGGAAATAGAGCTGCTTGAATTTGAGAGTACAAAGAAATGTGGTTTATTCTATTTGACTGTTGGTTTAGTTGTCAAATCTTTGAATTATGAGTTACTTAAAATCCTATATTTTGTTGTAAATTGAATACTAAATAGTGGATGATTATTGTATTCTTACCGTCTAATTATTATGATTATTGTATCTCTATAACTGTAATTTTTACCTATCAGTATAGAGTTTTTGACTTTTGTTCTCAATAAAGTAAACACAAGTCTATTGACTCTTTATATTTTCTTCAATTTTCTCTCTAGTTCGCAACATATTATGAACACAATGTTCTAGCCAATTGAGTTAAAAAAACTTATTCATCTTTCTGCGTACGAATCTCTAATTAAATTGAGGTAGAAAGAGTAATTTATCTTCCATTCAAAGAAGGACACGAAATTTTAATCAATTAAGTGAATATGGAAACTCTCGTTTTCGTTCATAGAAAAGGTTGGCCTTCTCTTAATTTTGAACAGAACTTTTCTCCGCCCATACTCGGTAGAAGATATAATGTCCATCGCTGATGCAATAATATGTGGCGTTATTATAACTTTCTGTCCACTATGGACATGACATCAGCTTTGTAATTTTGAATTGAATAATAAAATGATAAATGGTATGTTGACTATATCAATTGGTAGACATATGTTTGCTTGAATATAATTTATTATTTCGTACAGCATTTCAAAAGAATATTATATTATTGTTAAGAAATAACAATCTAAATCAATATTTCGGAAGAATATTGTAGTATTATAACGTATCAATATTTAGGAAGAATACTAAATTGTTGCTGTTGAAAAGAATATAACATTTATATTTCTTTTTTTATGCTTATAATATTATATTGAAATAAAGAAATACACATTAGCGTGTTGAATTCGTTTAATTGATACAATAGTGAATGCACGTTAATTCCTTTTTATTAATTTACATTATTATAATAATCAATACACATTTTTATTCTTTTTATGTTTAACAGTAAACTATTTATTATTGAATCCATTCGTAATTGTATTGTTGCTCCTAAAGAAATACAATATTACACATATAAATATTTTACGAGAATATTCTTATTATAATTCATTAATTCCTGAAGAAGCTCAATTCTATATTAATATTCTTAAAGAAATTTTGTTAGTCTTGAAGAACCCCGAATTTAGATGTATTATTTTTTGATAACTTAATACTCCAAATATGATAATTTAAAAGTATAGCGTACAATCTAATCTCGTGAAAAGACACAATTTACATGTGAAATTTATGAAATGGAAGTGCTTTTTCCTGGTAGAAAAGCATATGATTCATTTTTATGGTACTTGTTCATGCTTGAATTTTCATTGGATTATTTTTTTATTTGATGGTTGGAAAAAAAAATGCTCCTAATATCCATCCCCATTTTGGTGACGTAATGTGGCTTATGTTCACTGCTCTATTATTAAAGTTTGAAGTAGATTTGATCCCTCATTTACCAAACTTCCTATTCTTGTTTAATTCACATAATATTGAACAATATTTCACTCAAGTGTGGTCGTCATGTGCAGCAAAGCTACTATTTTTACTGTTGTTTGATTTCAAAATTAATTTCTATTTTGTGCCATAATATTGTAACTTATAAGCCAAAGACAATTAATTGTAGAACCTCGACATATTGGTAACTTTAATTACAAAAATTACAAAGTTCGATCCAAATTGAGGATCTACATCCTCCGTTATCGAGTTCTACGTTAGGAGCAAAGCCTTTTTACTATATTTGATTGACTTATGGCCGAATCCAAAGCCTTACAAAACTTCCGGTGACTTATACACAAGAAGCGTCAATCCTTATATAATATTGAGTTTTTCTTAAAAGATTGTTACTTCGTGTTTTTACCTTATATTGCTTATGATAATGTCTGATTGTTAATATAGGCACATTTTACTACTAGCTAATTAATATTAATCATTATTTGCTTATTAAATAATCTTTCATTACATAAAAAACTCTAGTCAAGTTCTAAATCTAATTTCAATGTAATCTCATATATGCAACAATTCTCCATCAAAACTCGAATTTATTCGCATAAATTCTTCAATGTGATAGATTTTATACATTTGCAGGTTAATGAATTTAGTCGATAGGTTCAATAATGAAAGACTATCAATTTTATTTTGTTCGACTTTCACCGTCCTGTCATCAAATTAAACAACGTGTTAACGGCCTATAAGCCACTGACAGTTGTGTGATGTCGGTTGGTTGATGTTGTCATCAAGTCTTAACATGTATACAAGAAAAAAATATCTGTAAACAAGGCTGTCAACTAGATGTCCGCTTACTTGATCAAACATACAAAAACTAGTCATTGTGCACCAGAACGAAAAAAAAAAAAGTGAATGTTACATGATCTGAACGTCCACATGGACATTCGAACGTTCGGATGATCCAGACATACAATGCTTTGTCCAGACATCCACATTTCAATAGTTTGTTACATTTTGTTTTTGCATGGTCCGATGTGAATATTTAAAACATGATCTAATTTTCACTTATGATTTTGAAAATCAATTTTGTTTAAAAAATAATTTATGTAAGTGATGATCAAAATATTTTTAGCATATCAAAATGGTTTTTGGGCTTTCATTGTTTAGTGGTAAGAATTCAAGTGTTTATACATTTACAAGTGATATAAAAGTCTAGTTCGATGTCTACATTTGATGATTGACTATTGAAGCTCTTTGTCTCGAATGATTTATCTTGAATGATTGACTTTCATCACTTCCTTCATTGTAAGTCCACTTGTTCAACTTTCATTACTTTCTTCATTGTAAGTTTGATTTGTAATGTGAAGGTCTTGATATCTGTTAAGGGATAGAATCCCACATCGAATAAAAATGTAAACATAAACCAATTTATAAAGGATTGTGTTAATCCTCTTAATAAGGTTGACCTTTTAAGATGGAACCACAATTCTTAACATGGTATCAGAGCCCGTTAAACTCTAACGAGCAATTCGATCCGGTAAAGACTCCAAAAGTGAGCATACGAATTTCAAAATTGGTCTGCTCAAACGATCCACCATCTTGCGGGGGCATGTTAAGAGATAAAATCTCATATTGAATAAAGACGTAAATATAAACCAATTTATAAAGGATTTGGTTGCTCCTCTTAATAAGGTTGACTTTTTAAAATGGAACTCAAATTCTTAACAATATCAATCTTTTTGTCCTTGATCAATCAATCTTACATAACATACTTTGAAGACAATATACTTTTGGCTGACAACACTTTTGTACATAATGTGAACGAGGATATTGAAGGAAATTCGTCAAAAAATATCAATATAGAAATAATTGACCAAATAAAAATATTAAATCCATGTCAATTGAATTTATTAGAGAAACATAAAGTTTCTGTACCTAAAGGTGTAAAGCCAATAGTGTGCAAAAATGAACTAAGAAAAATAAAGCCACTAGTAATGCACGACTCTTAACATAATGAATTTTGTAAAAAATTATACAAATAGATAAATTATCATGTAGTGAATACAATCACATGTTTCCAAAAATACATAAAATTTGATATGCTTATACAAATGTGATTATAGTCAATTCATTTGGTATGATTATTAATACTATATATAAAGAATTTAATATGTCGAAACGTATAATTCATGTGATATTATCATGAAAGTGTAAATATATGTTGCAGTTTTTTTTTTACTTGACTAATGTTTCGTTTCATTTGACTTTCCTAGCAAAGCTTTTAATGAGGGAACTTTTGTAGCATATTCAAAGAAATAATATATTTTTTTTCCTTCATTGTGATTTTTCACACATGATTTTTCCTAATAAGATTTTAATGAGACATATTCTTTACATAATAAATATCCATAACCTACAAAATATTTACAGTCTATACAACTCTATAATTTTACTTTCATATATTATAACTTGTATACAAAACTCCTGAAGAGAGCAATAATAAAATTTATTTTTCAACAAACTATCATACTGACTAAAATCAAGCAATGCTAGATGAATATATTGTATGGAGACATGAGGTTATATCAAAGTGGATATGGCAAAGTATATTTCTCCAAGATTCCTTATACACACGAGTTTCAAAAGATCGATGACATTCAATAAATTTGCTCAAGTGACAATGTGGCAACTTATTCATAAAAGCATTGTGGATGCCTACATTAAAGACTTTGATACATGAGATAGGAATGTGTCAATTCAATATTTAAGGTGGTCAACGTAATGAGAGTAGTTGTACTCTTTTCCATTCATTCAGGTTTTATCCCATTGAAATTTTTTGTAACATTTTATTAAGATAACATTTGATTTTAATACACTAAATAACTATAACCTTTTTTTTTTTCTTTGTTTAAATTTTAGTCCTACAATTTTTTTTTTTTGATACGCAAGTATCCACCTTCGGCGATTAATTATGGGCTCTACGCCTTGGTCCCTCAAAACGTAGATCAAGTAAACCGTGAGATATGCCCCAAAATGGCCAGGGTCCAAGAGCCCCCTACACTAATCTGCCAAAGTGTCGAACGAGTCAACACATGTTGCACCTTACCTTTCAAGAGAACTTATGTCTTCGAAGATAAATTCTACTTTCTAGGAAAGAGCATGCCTTCCAAGAGCCCAGCGAATCGAACTCGCAACCTTTGACCTGCCAGCAACTAAGAGCTCCGTCCTTTGCCAGTTGGGATGCGCCCCGGGGGGCTAATCCTACAAAATTTTTATCAAACAAAACTTTTAACGAAGCATACATTATGTAATTGGTCATTCA